GTATTACGTTTACCTGAACTGGCCCTGCAATTACCTTTTATTTATTTTGCTCATCTCGCAGAACTACGAAAATGGGTATCAATTTATGTAGTTATATAGATAATTAGATAACATTCGGTAAAAATTTCGCTTGCAGTAATTTCTACGTGGTAAGGGCTCCGCCACTATTTGGTTTCATAGGGATTCGGATACCTTCCTCATTGAAGTAGTTAAGAAAATTCGCTTAAGTGCCTTTTTCGGTTACGTGCACAAGTTTTTCGTGCAAATAAGGATGTGCAGCTAAGCAAAATATACTGTATTTGCACATTACACGAATTTGTTCTAAAAATGTATCTTTTTAGATTTTGAATGCTTATTATTTTTTTTTAAAGTACAAAATTAAAAAGTTACACTGGCAAGTATTGTGGCTTACTTGTACTTTCGTAGTGTCAGCTATTGGTGCTAATAATTTTATAATACAGTACATTCCGTTTAGCTTCATTTACTTCCACTGCACACGATTGGGTGCACTTAAGCGAAATGTGCAGCTAAGCCGAAATCAAAAACTAGAATTTGTTTCAGATAGATGGGTCATAGCCCATTTCTGTTGAAATATTCTAAATGCTACTACTTACATATATATATATGTACTAGCAGAGCACCCGACGTCGTTCGGGGTAAACAAATAAAAATATAAAACAGTAATACAAATATTAAGTTCACCATAATTTAAAGGAGACAAACTATTTCCTTTGTTTACATTAAGGCATCCTGATGAGCCATACTTTTAGCTTTATCGCACTTTAACTAATATATATTGATCACGACTTGTACTACAAATCTTGTTCCATTATTAATATTAGGTGGATTAAGATAACGATACAATTTCTAAATTAAAATTAGTCTACTACGGTACATTCCGTTTAGCTGCCTATTCGCTTAGCTGTTTTAGTATAGCTGCACTTTTCTGGTAGAATGCTTAATTCGGAGGGAGTTTTATTCATTATGAATGAACCTTTTTCGTTTAACAGCATCGCGGGATTAAAAAACGATTTACTCTTTCCATTTCAAAATAATCTAAAGACGGTAAGGATTCAAAAAAAACACACAGTTTTAAATATCCGAGCTATCTAATAGATGAATACATATATGTATAACCCCCTTTTACAAACTCATTTATATATAGGTTACTCTGAACACCTCCCATAGATAACTATGTTCATGTGACTTATGGTTCCCAATTTATGGCTGATTAAAAATTCCACGCGTACGGGATGTGCTACGCCCCCTTTTATAAACTCATTCATATACAACTTACTATAAGCACCTACCATAGATATATCTGCATACCAAATTTAAATTTCATGTGTCTTATGGTTTTGAAGTTATAGCTGATAAAAAATGCCACGCCTATGGGATGTGCCACGCCCCTTACACAAACTCGTTTATATATACCCTCCTATAAGCACCTACCATTGATATGTCTGCATACCAAATTTCATGTTCGTGGGACTTAAGGCTCCGAATTTATAGCTGATAAAATATTCCACGCCTTTGGGATGTGCCACGCCCCCTTTTACAAACTCGTTTATATATAACCTCCTATAAGCACCTACCATGGGTATGTGTGCATACCGAATTTCAAGTTCGTGGGACTTATGGTTCCGAAGTTATAGCTGATAAAAAATTCCACGCCTATGGG